TCTATCTATCTATCTATCTATCTATCTATCTATCTATCTATCTATCTATCTATCTATCTATCTATCTATCTATCTATATAAACATAACTACTGGCATGCTTTTCAGTTATTTGTGATGGTTATTGTTTTAGGGTAATATGGAGCTAGAATTAATTTCTCAAAACAAATAATGTAATTCTTACAAAGGACTAATTAAAAAAATATATTTCATTTTTTTTAATACAGAAATGTTATGTCAGGATCAAGTTATATTTTATACAATCATGGGAAGACTACTGACTTACAAGTTGTTTATGAGGCACAACGTGTATTTGTTGAAGAAGATGGCTAAAATAAAAGGTCAGAAAGATAAGTATAAGCAACAAAAATACCTGTATCCAGTCTTTTTAGGCCAGTGCCAAACAAGAAACAATGTGAATGCCACAAGTAAACCTACCTGGGCTTAGTTTGCAATTTCAGCAAATAAACAGAGTTGCATACTGATTACGCAGTTGCTACACCACATTAATGCCGTATTCTTGCAAAAATATCCTGACATACTGTAGAGTTCAAGTAGTTTAGAGTTCTTATACCATACAGTAAGTGACGATCATTTTGAGTAGGAAGAGTTCTGCAGTAATTTTCCTATTAATCTTATGCGAGTCTCTTTGAGAAACCAAAATTTTAGCTTTTCTTTGGCTAGAAAAAAAAAAGTGAAAAAAAGTGTAAGTTCTTGCAGTTTTGCCTTCAAAGATAAAAAATAAGTGGGACTCTGGTGTTTCTCTGATTTTCTCCTACAATTTTAATAAAAATCCTAATGTAAGATCATATATATGTAACTTTGTTTTTAAACTGTTCACCTGTATAGCTACGACATGGTGCATTACGGCCACTCAAACCAGCTGCGACAAGCCAAAGCTATGGGAGATTACCTCATCGTTGGAGTGCACACAGACAGTAAGGCTTAAACAAATGCAACAGATACTTAAATTCATATGAAGCTAATTGCCGCTAAAGCATGAAGTCTGTGTTCCTCTGTGGGAGTTCATTAGTGCATGTGTTTAATGTGTTTTTGGCAACTGGTTTGGCTGCTCATGTAGAAGAGTTTCTCTCACTCAACAGGTTTCTGTCCTCAAATGAGAACAAATGAGGGATAAATACAGAGTACAATTTGGTGCTGTTTTCTTGAAATAAACAAATGTGCAAGATAACACCAGTACAGATTTTTTTTTTTATTAGGTTCCTCTAGATACTGGACACATCAGTAGTAGCTCAATTTTATGCAGATCCAAAATTCATTAATGACCATCATGTTATGGCTAAATTACCCCCCCCCCCAATGAACAATTTATTGAATTTGTGTTATAATTTCACTCTCTGGATCACTTTGCTATATTATCTAATAAATGAAATACTGTACTGTATCTTTAGTAGCAGTAGAAATAATTGTTGCTCTTCTGTTTTCAATTAAGTAATCATCTTTTTTTTTTAAATATGTGAAAATGCAAATAACTATGCGATATTTGAAATTGTAAGCATATACTGTAAAACTGTGGTGGTTTAACTCATCTCACTGCAGGAATCCTATGTATGCCTACAGTAGGCAAAGTGCAATTTACAATTATACTGTAAATGTGTTCCAGATTTGCTCCTTTCTCAGATTAAAAGTCCCTTTTAGAAATAATAAACTTTATTTGGGTGCAATTTTTGTATATAAAATGTTATATTTATTTGTCTGAGATAATATTCTTATCCTAAATTAGTTAAAGTTGTATAGACTGAACAGAAGATGATATAAAAAAATATTAATCAACTGACATCAATCTGTGATGTCTAATGTGTTTTCCTGTATAAGTGGTTTTAGTGAAATACTTTTCAATAACAATCTAATTCACTAGATAATACTGAAGTGATGCATTTTAAACTGGGATTTTTCTTTCTATGTTCATTAATCAAGATCTTTTTGCTGGTGGTTTAAATTTTTTCACTTATCTAACTTTATTGCTTAAAGGTGAGATTTCAAAGCACAAAGGTCCGCCAGTCTTTACTCAGGAAGAAAGATACAAGATGGTGCGAGCCATAAAGTGGGTGGACGAAGTGGTGGAAGGAGCCCCATACGTCACAACCCTCGGGACCCTCGACAAGTACAGCTGTAACTTCTGTGTGCATGGAGGTACTAAACACCTGGCTTAAACGGACAAACGATGAGTAGTGGTGATTTAGACCTGACTTTATCCCGTCGTTTCAGATGATATAACTCTTACTGTGGATGGGAAGGACACCTACGAAGAGGTGAAGAAGTCAGGGCGCTATAGGTTAGCCTGCAAAACACAAAGGAAATATAGTGTCAGGATGGGCTTTTTAGTGTGTTTTACTGTCTTACATGTTATTTTCTTTTGTTGCAGAGAGTGTAAAAGGACGCAAGGAGTTTCCACTACAGACCTTGTTGGCAGGATGCTTTTGATGACCAAAGCACACCATAGCAATATTGTGAGTTCTCCTGAATCCCAGTTTAACTTTTTCACCTAAATTTGATGATTTTAACCTAATTTTATGTCCTTTGTCTTGTCTTTTTTTTTTTTTCCAGGACAGCTCAGACTACCAGAAGCACACAGACAACTTTGGAAAGGTGCGGTAATTTTCTGCCTTGTTCACTTTCTACTTCAGCTTAAACAAGTATAGAGCAGAAACTGTTTGAGCCAAATGTCAGCTGTTTAAAGAACATGCTTTGTTTTACATTCCTTTTAACATATTTTAGTAGCTTTGCCAGCAAACAGTGAACACCACTTCTGTTCTTTGATGAGCAGAGTTACTAACAGTAAACAAGCTTGCAGCCACAAACAGATCAAGGTCTTTCGACTGGAAGACTAATTCAGGTTATTTGGCCAGTGCTGAATAAATGCATTCTTGATTTTGCCCAGTTTGGAGTTGGTTTTGTGACCCTCAGTTCTTTCTGGCTGCTTTACAGCTCTATCCACTAGGTGGCAGTGATTATATATGGAAATAAATAATATACTAGCAAGGAGCAGTTTTTATAAGTGTTAAAAATGAATTAGGCTCCCTCTGAAATATTTGCTTAATGTCATAAAGAAATTTTTTTTTTTTTTTAAGAGAATTTCCATAACTTAATATTAAAACTTGTATTACCCTGCCATTTTTCTAGATTTGATAGTTTTAAAATGTATTCCTTACATCAAATCCTCCTTGTATCCTTTCAGAATCTTCTAGAAATATCTCAATTAAATTTTGGTCCATTCCTGCTAATAGAACTGCTTTCAGCTTTTAAGGCCACCTAGTTCTACCCGCCTGTGAATTAAAGTCATAGTGATCTGACTTTGAAGACAATAAAGAAGGATCTTTCTGTTGTTATTGTAGAATTTAGCAAAAATAACCAATACAAAGAAAGATTAGATTTTAATAAATCTAAATGACCTAAAACAGACTAAACTTTAGATTAGTCTACCAGGTTTCTTCTCAAATTTATATAGTTGAACAGTAAATAGTTAAATATTTTGTACTTAGTACAACTCAATTTCTTAAATGGGAAAAATTATTTACTAGGGATTAATTTTCCAGCTTTTTTATTGTCATTAAACTGTCACAAGTACAGAGCAATAAAAATGAACTTTCTGCATTTAAACTATCCCCTTGAGGAGCAGTGGGCTGCCATTGTGTGGCGCCCAGGGAGCAGTGGGGTGTTAAGGGTCTTTGCTCAGAGACCCAGAGTGGCAGTCTGTGGGAGTGGGGCCTGAACTCAGAACCTCTGGATTCCAAGTGGAATGCCCTAACCACTAGGCCGCCACTCCTAAATACATTACACACGGATTGACGTTTTCAACTCTGTATTTAATGAAACAGTGACATTTGAGATGAGAGTATTATATCCAACCAGTCAAAATATCAACTTATTTAATGGAGTTAATGGAAAGCATGTTTACTATTTGCTCAGAAGATAGTTTAAAATGTACCTTTAATCACAAAAGAGCCTCATGGGAGTTCCTTGTTCTAATTTATTAAATATAACTGAACACTTATAAACTTGCAGATATAACCTGTTTTAATTTTCCTCCATAATGCTCATTTGCATGGTTGTTTGGTGACATCTGCAGAAGGGCCACAGCCCATGGACAGGAGTGTCTCAGTTCCTGCAGACTTCTCAGAAGATAATTCAGTTTGCCTCAGGCCAGGAGCCTCAACCCGGAGACACAATCATCTACGTCGCAGGAGCCTTTGACCTCTTTCGTATCTTTTTCTAAATTAAGAAATTTAGTTCTATGCACACCACATTAGTGATGATATATATATATATATATATATATATATATATATATATATATATATATATATATATATATATATATATATATACTTTTTGGAGCAACACTCAGGCTATTGCTGAAATCAGGTGTCTTACCTGTTGACAGGTATGGTGGTTCACTGTTCATGAGTAAGGTGCTTTCATGTGTCTTTTTTGTCGTTTGTTAGAATTATTTTTTTAACAAAAAGAAAATTTTATTTTACTTAATTACAATTTCGAATTTTTTTTATTAATTTACATTTTTTCAGTTTTGCGTTATTTGACTTACTACTGTGATTTAATCTTTTTCTCTAATGGAAGGGTATGTAAACTTTCAAGCATGACTGATATGTTCATGCTGAATGACTGTAGTCTCTAAAACACATATTATATGCTGGCAGTGCAGTATGGAATTAGTATTAGGAAGATTATTAAAAAAGACACAAAGTAAAATAAATTCAGAAAAAAGCCAGAACACAGAAAAAGATTAGACATCTGATTATGTGGCAGCATGGATAATGTAAAGAGGATATAAACCAAAAAAACACATACACACTTGTTAATACTGTTTTGAGCAAAATAACATTTTGGAATGTACAGCTACAGCCATTTCAGGAAAATCAGCAATGAATGAGAAATGTTTTGCTGTCATATTAAGATAGCATTTATTGGAAATGTTGGCTTAAACATCTTTTTTTTGTCAGATTTGTTATTGTTTTTGTGCTTTGCAGACATTTCTTCTTATTATAGTGTTACATACAAGCACTATGTCAACTAACAGTATGTTATTACAGTTTTAAAATAAAGTCATTTGCTGTTTTTTATGAAAACCATTGTTTTCCTTAATGATGGTTCTGTCAGACATCGGCCATGTTGATTTCCTGGAAGTGGTCCATAAGCTTGCTGAAAAGCCATACATCATAGTGGGGTTACACTTTGATCAGGTGAAGCTTTTTAACCATTTTTTTTTTCTAATATAACCGAAAATGTATAATAATATTGTATTTAAGATACCTGGCCTGTCTGACAGATATTCCTGTGTCTCAGGAGGTAAATCGTTATAAAGGGAAAAATTACCCCATCATGAATGTCCATGAGAGAACGCTCAGCGTACTGGCTTGCAGAGTAGGTTTTTCTCCTCTCCTTTCATATCAATTCCATCTATCAGTCTATTTTGACTCTGTTTTGATTAATTTGTGTATTTCACATGGTGTTACAGTATGTATCAGAGGTGGTGATTGGCGCCCCTTTTGCTGTCACAAAAGACCTGCTGGATCATTTTAAGGCAAGTAGAAAAACGGCAAGATTTCTTACTCTTAGGTTAGTTTTTCTGTAAATCCTTGTGTTTGTGTCTTCAGGTGGATCTTGTTTGCCACGGTAAGACAGAAATCTACCCCGATAAGGATGGCTCTGACCCTTACGCTGTAAGACCTCATTCTCCTGCCAAACTTCTTATCTTTGCAACGATGATCTGGGATATTTTGTCTCATCATTTTTGCTTTATTTTCAGGAGCCAAGAAGAAGAGGCATCCTGCGAACTGTGGACAGTGGAAACACTCTTACTACAGATGCCATCATGCAAAGGATAATCAAAAACAGGTGATGCATTTTTATTAGCAAGTAGCGTTGATTGTTTTTCTTTAAAAACATTGCATGGTAGAAAGATTTAAAAGCAAATTGCAAACATTTCACTTTGTTTAAGCCTTTATCTAACAGAAAAAATCTCAGATTTAAAACTTTTGTAGAACTCTGAAATATCATTCAATTTATTCAATTTAAAATAGCTGTAAAAAAGTGTTTGTTTTTAAAGCTATTTTGCAGGACTTGGGACAGGTTTATTTGTTAAAGGTGATGGTGTCAGAAATAGGTACTATAAACAGATATAAATAAATCCTTTTTCCAAACTCTCTCATTTTCTAATATTTTCTAATTTTACATAATTAAGCTAATACAATAATGAACTGGCCTTGTATAAATTGTAGCCCTTGATTCTTATATTGATATCTTCCTTAGTAATTTCTTTTCTCATTCTGGATCACTTTAAGTTGAAATCTTCATCTTTTAACAGTTTTTTTGTTATAAAAATAAAATTGTATTAAAAAACCTTGCAGATTTTTATTTCTCCTCTATTTTTTTGTTTTTGTTACCTTCAGGCTACTATTTGAAGCAAGGAACAAAAAGAAAGAAGCCAAAGAGATCGCTGTGATCCAGGCCATGAAGCGACAAGAGGAGAAGACTGAAGGACGACCCCAAGCTCTGATGTAGACATGCGTCTCCATCTGTGGTTCCGCCCCAACGTTAACAAGCTAGATCGATATACACTTCTCTATAGCAAACTTGTCATAAGTGTTATGGCACCACTAGATTATATCAGCAGTATTTACAGTAAAAGGATATTAAACCTGCTGTGGGACCATTAGGTTTTAATAATCCAGAGCAAGAAACATGTAATGCATCCATACATTTAAAATTCTAATATATGCCTTTTAATATTCTAACATTTTATATTTTTTTGCCTTTTAACAGTGGAAAAAAATGTAAAAGTTTATTTTAGTTTTAAGAATTAAGAGTGCAGGTTGGAGATGTGGGTCAAAGATTTATTTATCTAACAAGAAAGTAAATGGATTGGTCACCTCAACTGAGCTGTTGCTGCTTTTTGCACAGCAATAGTCCTACGGTAACCCTAACTGTTGAAGGTGTGTATATATTGTGTCAAAGTGTGTGAGAGTTTTACAATCTTGGCAGAAAATGAGGGACACATGCCCCGGTGTTTCTGTGCAGCTAATACGCTTAAACTTTTGGGACCTAATGTGCTCCACTCTGCACTGACTGCTCAGAAATCATCTGAACTGTTCTGTTTGTCTTTTTTTTAATCACAATGAAATGTTAAGACCTGAAGGTCTTGCCTTTTGAGTGCAAGTTTTTAAACCTTAACTACTACATTTATGAAATGATAAAACTGCCTGCTTTAACTTTGGTTTTCATTGCATGAGTGGAGATTAATGTTAGTGTTACCATGGTGATGAATTAGATTTCCTACTTCTCCTAAATCCTAAGGATTCTAACATCGATGGATATTAAATGAGATCAAATAATATATATTTTTTTGTAGTAGCCTCATATATGTACTCAATTCCATTAGCTGCTGTACTGTAAAGATAGTAATGTAATGTTTTAAAAGCATAATACATCGTATGTCAAGATGAGATGAAGTTAGTGTAGCCTATGACCTGTATGTTATTGATTCCTTCCCAAGGAAATACTTTATAAAGAAGTCGACTGGATTTACAGTATATTATTGCTGATAAAAAATACTTTCTGAAAGACAGTTTTCTTCTCTTTTTGTCTATTTCATTAAGTTATTATTATATATATTATGAATTATATATAATGTATTTTTGATTAGTATATGAAAATAATTAGGATTTTTCTAAGCATGGTTTAAAAATGCGAATTAATTTGGTTTAAAAATACTTTTTCCAACTAGTTTCAGAAGTCACCTACTTAATAACAGAATCTGTTTTCTGTGAAGGCCTGAAACACAAACAGAGTTAAGTTAAAAAACAAAATCAATAATCATATAAATTACTGTTCTATATACATCATTCAAAAAGGAAAAGACTTTGGCACAACTGGAAACCTCTCCAAACAACATTGTCCAGCGAAGATGATAAGTAGAGTAAGGAGAAGATTGAGCAGAGAGTAGTTAACTGAGCTACGGTAACTCTGAGGAGGTAGAAAGACTGCTAAGATCAAATATTAGTAATGTAATTTAAAGTGGCAGACTGAAACTTTTTGCCTTGTCCATTCTCATCCGGTTTGACTGAGGTTGTATTATTTTGCGCAGTAATAAGGACAAAATAGTATTTTCTTCATAAGATTACAAAGTAATGACTAAAGATGCTGCATAAAAATACATGGTCCACATTTGCAATTGTGATAATAACTGGTTAAAGGTCACAAGGTGAAATTCTCCATATTCACCATTCTGCTAAATACTGATGGCCAGTGGTGGAAAGTAACAAACATTTACTTGATTACTGAACTTAAGTACTTGTTTAGAGTATCTTTACTTAAGTCATTTTCTGGGGAGACTTTCAAAGTCAAATATTGTACTTTCTATTCCACTACATAGATACTGTAAATGCTAGATACTTGTCACTTTTGGCGCAGCTTAGCTTTTTAATCCACTGTTGCTGTTTTTCTTTTTAGATACCACTATTTTAGAGATCTGCATGAAGTTACACAAATGTCATAAACTCAGGGCAGATATTATTTGTAATTTATAATTTTAATAATGAGTTAGTTGTTCCCATGTGACAAGGTTATTCAGTAGTATGAGTTCCAATAACTCATAGAGCTATAGAGTTTAGGTTTCTTTGTGGTAATAGGTTCAACCTTAAACCTCTATCCTAGCGAAAGTGTGAGAAGAATCAAGACACTCCTGTTTTGTTTTTTTATTTGGTTCGCTTTTAAATAATAAATAGCTTTTAAAATAAAATTGCTTTTAAAATAGCTTGTGGCTTTTTTATGCTGAAGTTCTTTACAGGTGGTGCAGAATTTATAGCAGTTGGTTTTATGCAAGAATACATGAGGTGGTTTATTAAAGTTATATCGCTCTTTAAAATTACTCTGAAAATTATACAGAAATATACTGATATTAGAAAATCTGATTTTTACTTTTGAACACTTTAGTACTTTTAAGTACATGTACGTTTGAACACTTCAGTATTTTAAAAATGGAGTACTTTAATACTTTTAACTTGAGTAGATGTTTGAACAAGTAACTTTTACTTTTAAGTAAGATTTGACTATGAGTATCAATACTTCTACTGAAGTACTAATGTTGATGCTGATGGCTGAGGGGCACATCCTACTCTGACATTTACATAACAAGCTGGTTAAAATTGTAGTTTTATTTTGAAGGAAGTTATGTGGCAGGTGCTTTTATTTTGACAGACTGCAGTTCCAGCATGTGTCTAATTAAGCAAATTACAGCCTCCTTTTTTTGCTTGCTTGACTAATAGAACAACAAAACTCTGCTGGGAAAAAAAAGGAAAATAGAGGGATGTTTTGTTGTTTGAAAATTCTCCCTCTGCCTCTAAAGGTATGTATCAAAATATGTTTGATCAATTTCCTTTTTTTCTTCCTGGAATTTAGTTGAAAAATGATTTTTGCTTTCCAAAACACTTCCCTAGTTTTGAACCACTGGTGGACTGATCTGGGGATTTTTTTTTCCAAAATTTGTTTTAAAATACATCACATTTATATTTTTCTACTAACCTAAGCACTGATGCCTTCCTGACATCCAACATTTCAATGGAGACAGTTCCTTTTGTTTGGCAAGATTTGGAAAAAAGATCTTCTTGTTTTCTGGTACTTAAACATGACTTGGATTTAGATGCAGACATTTTCCTGTTTCCTTAGATCTGCCTTGGAATATGCCTCCAACAGGATGTCTCAGAGGAGAGTAAAAAAGCCAAAATGAAGAACTCCGTCATTGAACAGGACCTTTGTGAACATGCCAGGGTGGAAAGTGATGTCATCAAAATCCTAATGCTTGGTGTGTAAATCTTAAATCCTTTAGTGGTCATTCACAATTTTCAGCATTTCAACATTTGTCAAAAACGTGCTCTTTAAGGACAACCCCCCTCAAATTTAATTAAAAAAGATTTAATTGCAGCTAGGACTGAGAATGTAGCTATTATAAGGTACATTTATTGTTGCTGAATACATACTTACAAGTTTACAATACTAACACATTTTTAAAATAAATAAATTACAAAAAGCAACAGTTTGAGCATCATTTTAAATGTGCAAGTACAGTAAAACCTGAGATGATATCAGCTGGAAGGTCATCATTTAAAAAGGTTCCACCAGGTCGACCCCACCCAAGTGGATGTTTAGTAAACTTGCTTTATTGATCCTAAAAAATCCATTTGTTTTGTATGGCAGGAGTTGCAGAAAGTGGAAAGAGCACAATAATCAAACAAATCAAGATAATACAGAGCAGCGGCTTCTCCACACAGGAACTTCTCAGTTTCAAGGTACCAAACACTCATAGAACGGTATCCAACCTGACAACTCTATACTGATTCTTTAGCAGCAAATTACAATTAAATAGAAATGCAATGAATAAATGTTTTCAAAGCCTGCAGTGCTGGATAACCTTCTCACCTCCATGAAGATTGTTCTGCATGGAATGGGCAAGCTGAGGATAAACCTTGCATACAAGAAGAACAAGGTAAGGCACAGAAATCTCAGTGCTTCTTTAATGCTCTGCTTTGATGCACCTCCTATTTATTACACTAGGTGTCCCTCTCTGCCTCTATAAGAATTAGAATCAAGTTCTTATCAGTGTTTGGATTAAAATTTTTCTGTGGCATATTTGAATCAAATGAATATAGATAATTTTTTTTTACACTTGATGCACTAAAGTGGAATTGCCATTTTGCTACATTAGCCTAAGTTGTGTTCTGGCTTTTAGCAAAACATAAAAGTATTCATCATTCATCTGTGCCAAACAGAAATCTGGATCAGATTTTGGTGGGAAATATTTTGTATCCACACAGAATAAATAATACAATTTTTCTCAAGTTGATCTTGATGATTAATGAGGTTCAAAACTTGTGATTTGTTGCAAACATTGATTTTTTTCCCCCCAGGGTTTCTCAGACAGTTGGTTGGTTAGTTAGTTTCTGTGTTCGGGCATAGTTTGGATATTTTGGTTTGGTAGAGGTGTTTGGTTTGGATATGAATTATCTCTCTGACGCATATTCTTGTGGGGAGGTCACATAGTTTTTTACCACTCTCTGTTTTATACTGGTTTGCTTCATTATATCCACATTTTGATCAATATTACCACTTTCTTTGCGTGCTGCCATAGACCGCCACCCAGGAATTTGGATTGCATTCAGTATTCATTGTGTGCATAATAAATGAAAGCGTTCACAAACTTATCTCCCAGTCTGGCCTTTTGACCATGTTAGGGCCTGGATTTCCTGCACCTAGAAGCAATCACAATTGGAGGCAATTTGATGGTTGCTACAATAAATGTTAATGTTAAGATAAAAAAAAATGTACTAAACTTCACTCACTATGTAGCCTGGCATTGTTATTTTCCTCATTTAATTGGATTATCTCCCTTTTTTAAATCAGATCCAGGCTCGCTCCATTTTGTCCTGCAGCCAGTGTTTGGGAGACGACCAGGAGCTGCTCCCTTTTGTCGCCCAAGCCTTCTGTGCTCTTTGGTCCGACCCAGGGGTGAGGGCTGCTGCAGCCAGAGGATACGAGTACGAACTGAACGACTCTGCCCTCTAGTAAGTACATCAATCTCAGGTGATTTACCTTGCACCACGCCTTCCCTTTCCCTCTTATGACCAACAGTGGAAATGTCAAGGGAAATTGCCCAGTAAGAAGTGTGTAGTCACATTGTCAATTAAAAGCAAATGGTAAAAGCAGCGCTGAGAATAACTCCCCTCAGGAAATGATTTCTGTGACATTTGTGGAACAGGAGGCTTAACTGGAAACACATCAAATTAAGAAAAGATCTATTTGCAGATATCCACATAGAGGGGAATGCAGGTGGAGCAGATAAAACAAACCTGATTAAAGAGAGTTTTCATGTTTAATGAGAAGCCAAATAGCATCATATATGTTAATCTTGGTTTTAAAGGTAAAGCTTAAATGTGAAGATTTAATTATTTTCCTGTAAATACTGCATTGCATCCTATTAAGATTATTTATTTGAAGTTTCAGCACAAGTTCTGTTCTTATATAACACTTTTTTTTTCAAGTGAGCAGACTTGACCAAAGTACTTTACACTACATTCAGTCGTTCACCCATTCACTCACACACTGATGGTAGCAAATTACATTGTAACCACAGCTTCCCTGGGGCTCATTGACAGAAGCGACGCTGCCGTACACTGGCGCCACCAGGTCCTGACCACCATCAATAGGCAATGCAGGTGAAGTGTCTCGTTCAAGGACACAATGACACTGAAAGCCAAAATGTCTTGAATCGACAACCCTTCGGTTGCAGGATAAACTCCTGCGCCCAAACGCCACTGTTGCCCCCAAAAACAGGGCAATCTTTTTTTTTTTTTTTTAACCTACCCACCCTCAATGATCTTTTTACTTACCTTTTAAGATGGATCAAAGTAAAAAACAAACAAATTAGCATTTGCGTCAGCAAAAATCTATTTTAAGTCTTGGCACAAATTTTGACTTGTCCATTCTTGCATATAAATGAATATTCATTTGAGACAGAGGTCTTCAACACTGGTCCTCAAGTCCTCTAGAGACAAATTTATGGCTTGTAAGGCCTTCTTCCAGAGTTGATGGCATGCTGAAGTGTAACTCGGTTGTTTGAAATAGCTGACTTGGAGCAGGGAAGCATCTAAAATCTGCAGGACAGTAGATATTGAGGACCACTGCTTGAGACCTCTGATTTAAACCATTCCAATCAAGCTCTGGCTGTAACCTTAGTGTTGCTGGGAGGTTAACCTCTGCCCCAGCTCTAAGTGTTTTGCTCTCTGTTTAAGATTTTCTCACATGACTGCCCTGTATTTAGCTCCATCTGCCGCCCCATAAACTCCAACAGGCTTCTTTGTTGCTGTGGCAGCAAAGGACCCCCATAGCATGACACGGGCAATGCTGTGTTTCACATATAGATATCAAGTTCATGGTTCAGGATCTATGTGCTATTCGGCAAACTTTAAACAGGACCTATAATTGCTGCCTTTCAACAATATATATCTTTTTTTTTTTTTATAAGGGAGATTTATATTAGGTAAACTCGTACAAGTTGTACTGTCAATAGATTTACAAACCTGAGCTTTGCAGGTCCTCCAAAATTTCACAGGGGTTGTTGGTAGTTTCTTTGAGGTTCACCTCTTTCTCCTTTTAGTTTAAAGGGGGTTTTGTATCTTGGTAAGTTTGCTTCAAACATTCTTCCCATATCGAGACAATGGATTGGATTTTTAATTTAAAAATTTAACTTTATAAAACTAAATCCCACACTTTTCAGTTTTGACTGAAAGAAGGCCAGAAAACTATTTTCTCTTTACTTGACAGCATGACTTTACTTTGAGTTTCTCTCTTTCCATAAAGGTTCAACTTGAGCTTTGTGATCTTGCTCTTGCAAAACACTTAGTTATTTCCCTGTTTTATCAGAACAATTGTTTTTCTTCATTCTCTGTCCTCTGTTAATGCATCGATGCGCTTTTAAGTAAATTAGAAGCAGAGTGGCCCACACAATGTTATTAAATCCTACCTTGCTAGTTTGTACTCATTATAATGATAAGTTCTATGTGCTGCATCATCATCTAAAGAAAGAAAAGTAACCTCTAATTTTAACTCGTGCAAAGCAATATATAATAACAAATTGATGTTGGAGTGGACAAATAGTTAAAACTGGAGTTGTTTCTTAAAGGTAAAAATTTATTTTTTAAATAAATGTGCACTCAGTGGGCAGAATTGGACTTCTTATCTTTGAGGCAACAGGGAGGCGATCAGTCAAGATAAAATCTACTCCAGGTGGTCAGACGGAGAAAGGACGGAGGTGTGACAGCTTCATTACTGGAACTCGATAAAGTCGGTTGCTGGGGGATTATATGAGACTGGCATAGCTCTCTTTCAGTGATCTCACCTTGCCGGACCTGGCATTGATTCCTCCCTCCAGAAATGTTGGATCAGACTGTGTCGTGACACACTTGACATCCCCAGGCACCCAAATGTGTAAAATGACTTCTCTGATGGTACCGTTGGATTGAAGTGAGTGGTTAATGTTGCTGAAAGAAAATCTGTCCTTACAGTGCATTATCTATGATTGTTAGGTGTGTCAAAGCAAGCTTACCACTTACTCAGTGTAATTAAAGATATAAGCCTTTGAAGCTAACAGGGATACTAACATTTAAATCAGGTTGCTCAAATTTTTTCTCTTTTCTCCAAATCTTTAAAATCAATTTAGTTTATATGACGCAGTTTTCACAGCAAATGTCATCTTCGGGGCATTTCAAAATCTATATCCACTTATGTTGAATTCACTTCCTATACATCAAAGTCACTCTGCAATCATAACTTAAGATTAAAAGCCAGTTGAATACAGAGTCAATTTCAATCCAAAGGAAACCTGAACAGAATGAAACTCAGTTAATCTGCTAATAAAATTCTGGGCTGTTTTCTTGTTTGTGGAATAGATCATAAAAAATTAGCAGAAATTTTAAGTTGATAAAATGCTCTACAAGATTTACTGTTGCATTTAGAAAAGGAAAAATACTCTTTTTGTCTAAAACAGAAATTGATTACTTTGGAGTAAAACTTTGCAGATGTGTTCATCTTGTCACAAATGGTAACTTTATGACACTGAGTCACATCATGAACCCCATGACACCGTGAATCACTTTCATAGGAAGATTTCTATTCTCACTTATGCTTCCATGAGATGAGACCTTAGTTTAGTTGTTCCTGCACTTTCATTTCCTACCAGATTACATTAAAGGAAACTTTATTAAAATGTACCGTATATTGCAAAAAACATATTTAGAAGTATGTTTGTGAGCTAAAATTGTTTACGAATTAGTAAAAATACACAAAATTAAAGCAAATATATAAAAAAATTTGTTGTGCATTTTGTTTGCAAAAAGCTTCTTGTTCTCCTCATCATCTGCAGCTTTTTTGAAAATATAAGTCGAATCATCTCCCCTGCCTACATTCCCACTGAAGCCGATGTCCTGAGGGTCAGAGTGAGAACCTGTGGAATCATTGAGACGCACTTTCAAGTTGAAGAAACAATCTTTAGGTAAGATGTCACAATGAATCCTTATAATATATTGGCATTCTTCAATGTGTGAGACTGAAAAAATAGCTTATTTACTATTTTATGCATAACTTCTGTTTGAGGGGGAGGGGATTTCCTCTAGTTTTTAAGACTGTAAGTCAAGCCATTGTGACTCTGAAATTAGCCTTAAACTAATTTCTAGGGAAATCTTAGAAACTGGGTATATTAGAATCATAATAAAACAAGGACTTTAATTCACATAATAAATGCACAAGTGATCGAAATGTTGAAAGGTGGTTTTTAACGTCTGAAACTGTTGTTGTGATTGCAGCTTTAAACAAATCTACAACAAATTTCATCATAATTTCTGTATTGAAGATGCTAAAACATTGTTGGTAGTTGTAGCACTGTTTTATAAAGCCAAAAATGACCTTGTAGATGTAGAAAACAAACTAAAATCTTTTGATTGCTGTATGAATTGGTATAGAACAACAAGTGCTAATCAAATAATGTAGGTACCAGCCAGTCAGCTGTTGGGCCCCTGATCCGCCTTAAAGGGGCACACTCAAAGAGTCAATATAACAGACATTGTGATCCATATTAACAATGAAAACTTGCTGCTGTTTCTTCCTGATTTGTTTAACTTATGAAGACTCTCCAACAACCCATCAAGGGATTTCAGCAGAAAAAAGAACAAGCTTCTGACAGATCACTGAAATTAAATGAGGAAATAATAATGGCCTCAAACCTTTATTCATGAAAATTCTTGAGCATTTCAGTGATTTAATGATTTCTGGCATCCTTTGGCTACTTTAATAGACAGCCAAATCTTTTATTCCCAAACGTACCTTATGTACCAAATTAAAAGTTTAATTTGGGGAAAATACTTTAATAATCAGAACCTAGAAAGTAAAAAAAACACAATATTATTTGATTGACAAAGGGTTTAAAACGCCTTTTTGTAACATATCTGATTTAAAAATTTTAACTAAACAACTTTAAATATATAAGTTTAATAACCAACTTTCTTTTTTTGTCCTGTTGTTTGTTATTTAAACGTGATTACATATTTAAAATATAATAAACTAAATCAGATAAAGTATATAATTGAACGTCAGGACATTTTGATCTGGTTGCTCTGTCTCTACTGCTTTAACCACTGCTGTCAGTTAACACTTATCCTCCTGCAGCTTGATAAAACTGACTCAGAGGATAAATGCCTCGTCGCAGGTGACATACGGATGGCAATCTTGCACCTGGAGACTCTTTGGTCCAAATTGAAACTCATTAACTGTGTCACCGAGACCCTCAGGAGCCACTCTGTTGAACAAATTGTCTTCAGTGTTTGGAATATTGTTTTATTGCTATAGTGAATTTGATTGGGAATAAAACTACTTTGATTGTCCATTTGTTTTCATACAGAATAGTTTCGTAAGATCTGCTAATGCCTGGAGGGTCACTTACTGAACGCTGAGGCTTAGATGTATCTTTTAAATTTCTAACAATTAAAATTGAGTTTATTTGTTGCATGTTGACAGACTGTATGATGTTGGAGGCCAGCGGAGTGAGAGGAGGAAGTGGCTGAGTTGCTTTGATTCTATCCACGCTGTGCTGTTTGTTGTGGCCCTCACTTCCTATGATCAGACTCTGCTGGAGGATCCATCAATGGTAGGTTTATAAATTATTAAAGCTCATTAACAGATGTATTTATCTTATTTTTTTATTTTTTTCTACCTGCTCTCATGTTCTATTCATAGAATCGACTTCAGGAAAGTCTTGAACTATTTTCATCAGTATGCTCTAACAAAGTGTTCCAGAAAAACTCCCTGGTAAGTTTACTTTATAAGCAATCTGAGAGGTTTATTTTTATTTGTGTCACAAACCTTCTTCATTCTAATACCCTGAAATAAAATCCATAAAAAAACAAAAATGCATTCAGAGGGAGCCAAAATACTGGTTAGAGCTAGGCCACTTCTGGTATGGAGAGGTTTGTAGATCTCCAGTTTGAATCCCAGAGTGCCAACCTAAGCAAGATTCTTAGCCCTTAAATAATGCCTGAATAATTGGATGAATTACCTCTCAGTGCTATGTTCCCAGTTCTTTTTGTCTCTTTTGGTGTGGAGAAAAAGTCAGAAGAGGTGGTTAGAGCTAAATGAACTGTAGTGTGGCTAGAGATTACTTGATATTTTATGTGCTATTTAAGCAGGAACTTTAATTATATTGGATTTAATGGTCAAACAAGGCTTCTCAAGGGTACTGTTGAATTATGGTTATTCACACACACACCAACTGTTCTCTGTAGTTGTCCTACATATGCAAAGTGAGGAGACCTTATTATATCACCAATAAACTAAGACCAATTTCACCACCTGGAGACCAAGTCTTTATGCTTGTACTTTACTGTGTGCAGACAGCATTCGGGTGTTTTGGGCATGAAGTGAAATGGTAAACAAGGACTGAATCCTCTTTAGTGCTTGTCACGTTGCCTCATCTCCATATCATACTTTTGCTGTTCTGGCCTTTCTGTTCCGGATTTGTTAAAACCCGAAAATTCTGCATGAAATATTCAGCACCCAGCATCAGCTTTGGATTTGCCTTTAAAACTGAATTACATTAAAGTCGTTTTCTATTATCTATCATAATCATCTAAAGATCAGAAATTGTTGTAACTTGGTTACTGTGTTCTAATTTGGGGTTTTAATCTTTTACTTTTCATAAGAAAAAAACTGACTGAATGTAAAGATGATTTGCTATTTACCACATGTTTTTGGAAAAAAAAACCCCCCAATAATTTAAACAAAAATATAAATAGAATAGAATTCAACTTTATTGTCACTACACTGTCACAAGTACAAAGCCACGAAATGTACCGTAGTTTGCATCTATCCAGAAGTGCTATATAGGATATAGATATTTATTTACATGTGCACATAGACTATGTATGTATTGAGTATAGATGGCATATATAAACAGAGAGTAATTGTAAGAGGCTATAAAATAAATAGGAAAACTATATACAGATTATACAGGAAAGTTAGGATATATATATATAAACACTACTATAGAATAGAGAAGATTTTAGACGTTTTTTAGGATTACTTGCTTCTTTAATCATAAAATGTTAATTATTAAAAAAGATGATACTCAGCAGTTTAAAATGAAGTATGAAATGGTTATTTTCAGCATGTAATTTGTAGTCCTTTGGCAAAGGTGCTGTTAATGTCACTGCATTAATGAATAGTGATTTACATCTATGTAATGTCTATCAAATTAGTCAGCCAAATTATAAAACAGGCAAAACATATTACTTTTTTTGGGCAAGTACTGATACACCTCCCCTATTTACAACCATTTTAGTCCTGAAGTCCAGTTGGATCGAACAGTTCCCCATACTTTTACTGTATAGTCTCTCCACAGCACTCTTGTTGCACATGTCTTTTGAGGTAGAGAGATTACAGTAAATAGCCTTAAAGACCACACAGCAAAGAGATTATATTTTACTGGTCATTTCATTCTCACTCACTTTATGAAATGTGACCACAGACACTTGATACTCATCCATCTCTCTGTGAGTCGTGTTTTTAAAATGTGACTCTGGTTGCTAACAAGCCAAACAGTCAAATAAAAACAAAGACCATTAAACATTTGATTTGCATTTTGATCTCAACCCTTTCCTATTAAACTTTTTTTCATTTATTTATTTAAAGGGTGTCATTTAAAATGAAGACTTTAATTATCCACGTGTTTGCCTCAAACATATCTTTTGTGCTCATTTATCTCCATGCAAATATCTTGCAGATTTTGTTCCTCAACAAAACTGACCTTTTCCGGGAGAAGATCCTGCACTCTGGGAGACACTTGAGAGTTTACCTTTCAAGCTATGAAGGTACACTAAAGAAAACCAATAAAATAATTTCCCTCTGTTAAATATTTCAGCCTAAAGATAGTTTAACCATCCTATCTGATTCACTAGTAATGAATTAGCTTGCTTTTATAAAATGAGCTATGCATTTAAAAAACACGTTAGATCACACAGAAAATAGTCTCTTCACAGCACTGTGGTTGCCGTACTGGTTACTAAACAATGAAAGGTATGGCATGAGCACTGAGAGAGATGAATGTTCTAACACCGGAAAATTCTTTTTTTTTAGAAATCCAGCCCTTTTGATTCTTGCTAAATCACCTCTGTTGGTTTTGTAAACAGAAATCCTTGCGCATACCGATTGAAATACATTGCTCATATTATTCACCTGGAGCGGGTCATGTTGATGCATTATTCAAGTCTCATTTTAAGAGGTTCTGTGTGTCAGCATCATGTTTTGTAAATTTAGATTTTGATTAAAAAAAAAGACAACAGATGCATTTTTCTATATATATCTATATTTTATAAAGCAAATAAACTGAGGAGACAAACCTTTTCTCTGTCTGTCCAGGAGCAGACTGTGACGTGGATGCTGCAGCTCACCATATCGCTGCCATGTTTTCAGCCTGCAACATGGACTCCAGCCGGCCTGTGTACCACCACTTCACCACAGCCACAGATACTGAAAGCATGGAGGCTGTTTTCCACATGGTTATTGATCAGATCATCAAAGAGAACCTAGCATCTGTCCAGATGTTGTAGGTCTACAGTGTGTCATGATGATTACTATGATTTTTATGTAAGATTTTATTTTGGTGTTTTAGCACATTTTAAAATTATTTATCTGACAGTACTTTTAAACTGTATTGTTTCTTTAATAAAACTATTTAAGTCCTTCTCATCTAATAGCGTTTTCTTTATCGCTGTACAGACCTGCCAGGAAAAAAAAAAAAAAAAAAAGAACACTTCTTGATACTAAAGCATTCCAGCTACTATAAGTAAGATTTATAGGGACTAACATTTATTTTGTCATTTCATTTCCATATCCTGTCCTGCACCAATTCAGGTTGGTTTGTAGGCCCTGCTTTCATGGGAAGTTGTTCTTATAGGGGGAAAAAAAAGGTGGAGTGCATACCTGAGCAGTGGATGGAGACAATGATGGATTTATGTGGAAAACAAAAATCCACAGTGTCAGAAGTTAACAGTGAAGCTAAAATGGCCACATGTAAAGCTAGTTTAATTTATTTTTCAGCAGATATTTCTAATTTGCTATACATTTTTATTTATTTCTGACATATTCTAAGATATTATCTGAGAAGACCTAATGCATTCAGCAGTCAATTTTCAAATTGTCAATTTATGTGCATCTTAAAAACCAAGGAACACAGCAAACGGGTCAGCTTATCAGGTTCACTCATCTGCCCTTTATAGATGAGATGCAACAGGAAAGCTATGTAAAGTCTAGTTTGAAGGGTGCCGAAGAAAAAATGTCAGGAAATGTTGCCAGAATTATATTTTTTCCTCAGAAAGAGCCATTTCTGTTCAACTTTGAATTAATAGACTGTTTTCTTGAGCAAACTTTCTTTTGATATATATATATATATATATATATATATATATATATATATATATATAAATGTAGAGCAAATGTTTTTTTTTTTTGTCAAAATAATGAATCTAATTGAAGTTTAATTTAGAATTTTCAGTGCAAAGTAAAATGGCATCATGCAGCATCATGCTATGGGGATACCTTTCTTAAGTAGTGGCTGAGGGAGCTAATTACAGCTAATGTGGACATGGATTGAGCTTGATTCTGGGTATTCCCTGAGAAAAACCTCTTAAAAGGCTTTAAAAGACTTCAGATTGTCCAGAGGTTCCTGCTGAGGAGCATAATGTCACAGGCACAAGCTTGGAATTAGTGTATGTGTGATAGTTATTTAGTTGTCATTAATTTATTCTTGAGTTATTTTTCAAAGAAGAGTGGGCAAACATGTCAATCTCAAACTAAGAAACACACCTATATACTGTTATTTCTAATTTCAAAAGACTATACTGAAAATGTAAAGTGACTAAATGTGACAAAATTCAAAGGGATTAAACTTCTTTTTTTTAAAGAAACTGCATCTTGATTTATGTCTACTTCGGATGAATGGAAGATTGCCCAACAATATGTTATGGTGAGGCTTCTACCAGCTGGGTTTATTTTGAGTATGTAAGCCTTGAAAGAACAATTTACATCGAGAAAATTTTGACTTCCTCCTTAATTCTTAGTTATTTTGACCGGAAACGTAGTTCTTTTCCTGTTTATGGTGTGAAGTAAGGTAATACTTCCCAATATGTTTGTTTAAACATTCACATAAACATAACGATATAGCCACCTCTTTTAACTTTTTTCCACATTAAAAGAGACCAGTGGCTGGGGCTTCATCTTCCTGTGTGGGATTGTAAACTTAAGGGCTATTCAAACTTTACCCACGCTGTTATTGCCAAAGTGATGAAATATGAAGAATTATAGGACAGCTATATTTTTGCTTGTGATATTTTCAACCCAATCCACATAATTATCCATTTATTAATGAAAACTAAGACCAAATAGAAACATTAACACATTAAACAATAATATACATTTCATCATAAAAAAAAAAATAACAAAAAGGTACATGAAATACAAATGTTTCCCAACAAAATCATTGTCACAATAAACATGGGCATCCTTTAAAACTGTCCTTTTAAGAAGATGGCTTCATGATCCAAGGACAGGGATCAGTCTCCGTCACAGTCTGAGGAGTCCAGGGAGAGGAAAACATCTGCTTTGCACTTCAAGGATCCCTTGATTTCCTCGAAGAGTTCACAGCTCTGTAGGTTTGGGGTAATGTCTTTAATACAAAGAGGCTGTTTGGAGAGAATTAAGACAGACAATTAGATCAGTCGAAAATCTGCTTTTAAATTCTATCTAAAACTATGAGTTGCCTTCTTTGTTTCAGTTGTTTAAGAGACCATAGAGTTTCTAACGCTTTTATAGCAGCCAATTATCTTTAATCTGCGACATAGTGTAAATTCATACTTTAGAAAATGAAAAAAAAAATATTTCCTGTAAACAACCTGTCTCTTCTAAATGTTAGATGTTCATATATTATAAGTAATACACAATCAAAACACGGTGCAGTATATGGATTTTTCTTGCAAGGCTTTATAACTAAAATCTAAACTTTGGAAAAAGTAAAATTTTCTCTGTATTTTTGATGGCATTTTGTAGAAATAAAGGTAAAAAGTTGTGAATATTAGTTTTATATTTAGTCGAATGTTGAACAATATCAATGTGATGAAATGTATTTATAAAAGCAATCGTTAAGCCGCATCAGATTTTATCATCTCATCAAAAAGCTGTTATTAGCGGTTATCAGTCCCATAGAATGCCTTCAGATTGTGTCTTCCTCCCTACCAATAGGCTCAGTAGGTTATCACTGAATGAATCCTAATCCTAAACCTAAGGTAATTCATTTTTTTGCCCGCAGAACTAAATAATATATTCATGTGTAATCTGAACATATTTTTAGTTGTTCATCAACTGTAAAAAAAAAAAAAAAAAAGAAAGAAAACAAAGTTTGATCAACATTTCGCTCAAATCAACCCCTCCAGAAATAAATCACTTATCCTGTCAACTTAGTTTGTTTTTTAAACTCCACATTAAATATTTGTGACTGAAACATGTGGAATTCACTTGAAGTAAAGCTTAAAAACTGTGTTGTTGTTTTTTTTTTTAGATGGTAGGATGTAAATAAAGTAGAAAAAAAGTAAAGTATAAAGTAGATAAATAGATTTTTTGAATTTTAGACGCGACTGTTATCAAAGATAAACTGCATATTATAAGCCTTAAGAAAGCTACTAGGAGGTAGAGGAGGCGCAATCTGAGGTCATTCTATGGGACTGATAACCGCTATTAATGGTTCATCCGAAACGGGTGAAGTGGTGCTGAATGGACAGCTCCCGTTTGGAGTAGGCTAAGAAAAACAAATAAAGAAAAAAAGAGAGTTTTCTGCCAATCGGTTCAAACAAAAAGAAATAAATTGTCATTGAAAAGTTGGCAAAGTACACAAATTCACACTGACCATGGTCTTTAAAACGGAGTTATGAGAGAGTAGGTGAGATAAGACGCTGCTGGTTGCTGACTCTGCGCTCTCTGATGGGCTTTCCTCTCTCCTCACAAACGATGATGACCTCCGGATCCCGGACAGCAAACCGGACGCCCTGCCCACAGAGTAGTAGTTCGGTCCGGTCACCTGCTTGTACCAAGCCTCCGACGGGCTGCAGGTGATGAGCAGGGAAATCGCTACGATTGGAAGCAGAAGTTTAGAAGTCATCTCCATGTTGAGAGCAGGGGTCTAATTCTGCTCCCTGTTTCACTTTGGCTGCTGGTTCTTCTCTCTGAGACCACTCACTGTCTGGGCTCCTTTTATAGGCTCCAGATCATCGCCCCTGTTATAGACTCTTATCGTCATAAAATAGAGAGAGAGAGAAAGATAACACCAACATTGAAAACGTATTATTTTTTTTTATTTCACTAGGAATATGAAGGATTGTTGAATATCTGTTTATTGACAATTGTTTGGGCTCTTCCTTTGGGTAGGTTGTGAAAATATATTCGTTAGAACATGAATTGTAGATTTCAAACCTTACCAGGGCCGCTGGAAGTCATTTTGATCAGGGGGGGGCTGCGATTTTTTTTTTTCTTGTTTGTTTATTTGGAGAGAATACCTATGAGCCTATATCTACGGAAGAGGATTAGGGCAAAAAAAAAAAAAAGTTAACAGATTTTTGAATATTATTTCAGTGTAATATAGGGGAAAAAAACAGAATTCTGACTTAATCTCAGAATTTTGACTTTTTTTCTCAGAATTCTGACTTTAATGTGTCCAAGGGGTTCCGAGTGATGCTATTTCATTAATGTAAGAGCATAAGGTGATTAAAACGAGAGAGCTAGTTTAGTGTCTAAAACAGACATGGCTACGGCTTGATGCTAACATGTTTGTAAGCTATCATAATTCATTTAGAATTCTGAGATTAAATTCAGAATTCTGAGAAAAAAAGTCAGAATTCTGAGATTAAAGTCAGAATTCTGAGAAAAAAAGTCAGAATTCTGAGAAAAAAAGTCAGAATTCTGAGATTAAAGTCAGAATTCTGACTTTTTTCTCATACTGAAGTAAAATGTAAAAATCAGTTAACTCTACATTTTTTTTCAGTGGCCCTGATCCTCTTCCATATATATGCCTATTTAAAATAAATAAAAATAAAAAAATAGATTGAGATTCACTACTTTATTGTCATATACACTTCAATGCAAACCAGGGTCTGTAACAAACAGACATCATTAGTCACATTAATCAGTTGATCAAACTTCACAATAAAATTTTTTCGGTGGCTTTATGCCAATTTGAAGAGCTGGCATTCACTAAGGGGTTGTCTCTTTGTCTCTAGGTATGACTTTTTTCCCAACAGCTTTCAGAAGAAAAAAAAACACAAAATACGATCTTTCACATAATGCAGCCGCTGCCATCTTGTAAACCAAGCCAGTGACGCAGACCATGAGAATGTTTCATTACCACAACGCAATCCAGGAAATTTGAAACTGGATGTTGGCTGGGGGGTCTTGTCTAATCCAATCATGCTAGGTTGTGTTGGGTGCTGGGGCTGGGCCAGTGTTCTTCTTCAATGGTGGTGGTTTTCCAAAAAAAAAAAAAAATTCAAAATGTGTTTCTGTCATTAGACTATGTAAATGTACTAGTCTGCTGCAATAAACTGGATATCATGCTCTTGCTTGCTTGATGTTGCCACGACAACGTAACGTCCGTGAGCTTGTGTTGATTAGGCCTCAAAATAATTCAAATTCGAAAATTAAAATACAAAGAAGTCAAAATTATTTCCTTAAATATTCAAAAGAAATTTATAAATTGGGCAAGGTATTTTTAATAAATAATAAAAAAAAATCTCCCTCTCGCCACTAGGAGATGCTGCAGCACCCCCGGCACCCCCACTTCCCACGGCCATAACCTTACTGAGCCATTATCCCTTAGCTATACTGTACACATGATGTAGTACACTATATGGGCTTAATTTCAGTAGGCTGGTAGCTGTTAAAGAAAAAAAAAAGTAAAAAAATGGTGTTAATATTTTTAGAGTGATTAACAAAATATCTATGTCTGTCTGTCCGTCCGTCTGTCTTATATCTTATATTACGGTATACAGTCTAATGCACTCAATGATATGTTTTACTGATATGAATAATGCACATGTGCAAATATCAAACCTAAAAAAATATACTAATAACATTTGCGGTTATAAAAGTAACTTTTTACAGTGACATATCTACTTTAAATAGAAAGGATAGGGAGGGTGTCTGCTAGAAGTTTAAAATGAAACTGTGCTCATATTTAGCATATTCGGATAAATTCTGATATTTAGAACTTAAAATATTAATGATCAATAAAAAGCTGTAGGGAGTGACTTACAAGGTTTGAATGTTCATATAAATCCCTGGAGTTCAGAGTGGATAAGGACACTTGTAGGTTGGAACAACATTAGATTCTATTTTTAATCTCTAAACGATTTAACAGCCTTCTAAACCGCAGGCAGAACTGTACCCCTAAGAAATGACTAGTAGAGTCCATTAAGAACAAATGTACAAACCCATCATCAGCAGTAAAACTAATACTTTGTTAGCACGCTGTGTTATGTTCCACAAAACCCATTAAAACATCACAGTGTCAACCCTGCACTAACCATGTTCTAACCACAACAAAGGAACACCAGGTTGCAGTGCATGAAGTGTGAGTCCCTGCATAGAGATTTCGTACATCTCCGATTCAAATATGAGGAGCTAAAGCAGGCATTATGTAAGTGACCTGATTTCTACAGTCTGAGAAATGTAACTTTGACCTGAGAACCTCTTTTTTCGTGACAGGAAGCTGCACATTGGTGATAAATCAAAAAGCACAAACTAGAAAAGACATCGCCTGCTGTTCACTGTTTAGAAGTTAAAGCTTCTGTTCAAGTAAAAAAAAAAAAAACGAAAAAACAAACATTGAGGATTAGAGTCCATTCAAATATGTTAGCTGGAAGCAGAACATTACTATGGACCCTGCTGCTTCAGTTTATAGGAGGTATATACAATTAATTTTTTATGTTTTTTTCCAGTTAATTTATGTTATAAAAAAAAATGTAAAACTGATGTTTTTCAGGTGTTTTCTCCAAGAGGTGCAACATGGAGTGCCGCCAGCAACTTGCATGTGCCGTGAGAGGCTCGTCTGTTCTCTTTTTTTGTCTTTTTAACGATACGAAAAGACATGAAGAAAAGCGATTCATATGGGGTCATTTGAGGTTATCTAAAGTTCATTTAATTTTAAATCAGTCAAGAAATGTCTCTGGAAAGTTTGAATACACTGGAGACAGGGAGCACAACTGCTCTATGAAATTACACCAAGTGGAGCATTCGGATGCCGGAAAATATTTTTTCAGATACAACAACAACAAAGGATGCCCCAATAAATGTATATTTTTAAAGGTCACCGGTGAGTTATTTTTTCTTTGTTTTAAAATTATGCTACTTTTACCAAATAAGTGGATATATAAAAGTAAAATGTAATTCAAACTCTTATAGATCTGAACATTTTAGCTGAAACTGCTGATGGAGAAGCATTTAAAGAAGGGAATTCAGTGAATCTTACCTGCATCAACAATTGTGATGACATCAATACCTCATCTGCGTACTCCTGGTTTAAAGATGGGGAAAGCATAAATGAAGGACATGTACTTCATTTAACAAATGTGTCGACTAAACATTCAGGAAACTACACCTGCTCCCTTAAGTTGCAAAAGGACACAACTTCAGAAGTCTTTCGTCTTGATGTTGAATGTGAGTTCACAACCAAAATACTTCTGATACCTGCAGAATTTCCCATTTTCTGCCTCTGAATAATGCTAACAAGATTAGGGGACTTTTTAAAAGAGAGCCTTGAATAAGTATAAACCATATGTCTTTAGTGTACTTTTGTGATGTTTTTTTTCACTGGCTGATGAAAACCAACCTTACAAACGTGAACAAGCCAATGATTTGATGATTTTACTTTTAAGAAAATAAATTTTTTTTAAAAGAAAGTATTGAGTGTCCCCAGCCGTGACAACTTTTTACTGCCTAAGTAGAATATGAGGGCTAGGCCGCATGTGCTCAGTGTGGCAGCAATATATGGGTCTGTTGTTCGGCTGAATGATGAATACACCTCCCTGTTACTGTTTTTTTATTTATTAGATGGACCCAAAAACACATCTGTGCTCATCCGGTCATCATCTGAAGCAGACACTAATGGCAGCATCATCCTGATCTGCAGCAGTGATGCACAGCCCCCTGTGCGGAATTACAGTTGGTTTGAAATAGTTGATGGTCAGTTGCTGAATGTTGGACATCAGGCTGAGATGTTTCCAGAACACAGTGGCCAGTATTTATGCAGCGTCTCCCACAAACATGGAAGTCAGAACTCCACTGTTTTCACCCTGAAGATGAAGAGTGAGTATTTCACTTTGGTATCTATTTTATATAAAGATGTCGCTGGATAATGTATTTTAAAGTTCAACATGTTTTGCTGTCTTACATCCTGTTTGAAGCAGACCTGACAAATTATTATTGTTCCACAGCCTGGACTTTTCTGAGAGACGTACTTGTCACCATTACAGTTGCCATTGTTTTAGTCATGACTGCTATTATTGCTGTTTGTAGGTAAGGTTTTTATCCATGTATGCTTTCACTTTTATTGATCTATAATGACTTCTTATTTTCATGTTACCCATCCACATAAAGCAATTTACAATTTGTTTCTAAATTCAAATTAAATAAATATTCGAAATACAATAGGCCTTTGCAGCTCTTTCCCTGCTCAAGCCTAAATATATTTCAAACTTGGGAATCAATACATTTACCCTAGCTATAGGATCAAATGTTTCTATAAAAGATTATAAAACATAAAAGCTGTAGAGTGAGAGGGCTTTTGATATTATATTACCATTTATATTTAGTTATCTTGGTAAAAATGTACATTAATTTGTTATATTCTCTTTTTGTAATAAAAAAAAATACTATATACGGGTGCTGGTCATAAAATTAAACAATTTTTTTTTGCAATTTAATTTATTGGGGGGAACTTGTATATCTATTCATTACACACAGACTGATGTATTTCATCAAAATGATAAAAAATGTTTATTTAATTAAATTATGTTGATTATTACTGACAACTAATGAGAATCGCAAACTAGAATATTACCTAAGTTTAGGGCAAAACAAGTGTTTCCAGATATTGGCCAAATGAAATGTATGAACATAAAAAGTATGTTACAGCGCTCAATACTATGTTGGGTCCCCTTTTTGCCTGGATTAGTGCATCAATGTGGCGACGAGTCGATTAAATGTGCCGCTGCTTAGGTGTTATGAGGATCCAGGTTGCTCTGATAGTGGTCACCATCTCTATTATTGGGTCTGGTGTAGAGCATTTTCCTCTTCACAGTACGTCTTTCCACGGGGTTAAGGTCAGGTGAGTTTCCTGGCTGACAACGAACATACCATGGTCATTAAACCAGGTACTGGTAGCTTTAGCAGTATGTGCAAGTGCCAAGTCATGTTGGAAAATAAAACCTGCATCTCCATAAAGTTGGTTAGCAGCAATAAGCATGTAGTGTAAAACTTCCTTCCAGGCTGCAGGCTGCAGCTCGGACCACAGAAAACTCTGGGACATTGATTTTCACAGGATATGCAAAATGTATTTACATTGGAGAACATATCTTTAGACAACTCAGCAGCAGTCTAGTCCTTTTTGTCTTTAAACCTGGTTATAGATTTCTGATGCTGTGATGTGCATGGTGGTGCTGAAATCATTGACTTCAGCTGCATTTCACTCTTTTGAAATCTCCCCCTTATTTTTTAACAGGTTTTGTTTCACAATCCTCACCAGGGTGCAGTTATCACAACCACTTTTGCACTTTTTTCTAGCACTATTTTTCTTCCCTTCACCTTTCTATGATTATGCTTGGAGACAGAACTCTGTGAAAAGCCAGCCTCTTTAGCAATGGCCTCTTGTTTCTTTCCCTCCTTGTGCGAGGTGTCAGTGATCCTCGTTTGTGCAACTGTTAAGTCAGCAGTCTTCCTCATGATTGTGTAGCAACTGAACTAGACTTAGAAACAATTGGACAGCTTCTATGGCTGTTTTAAGAAAATAAGCTAATTAGAGTGTGGCACCAGGTGTCTTCAAGATTTAACCTTTTAACCTTTTAACAATATTCTTATTTTCTGAAGAGACTGAAGTTGGGGTTTTATTAATTGTCAGGTATATTGGTCAACATACTAATAAATATACATTTAAAATACACCAGTCTGTGTGCAATGAATGAATATAATATACAAGTTTCCGGTTTTTAATTAAATGACAAAAAATTATTTGTTCATGATGTTCTGATTTAATGACCAGCACCTGTGTTTTTTCTGTTTCTCTTTTTCAGGATTACCAAAAACAAAAGGAAAAAACCAGAAGCAGCACATCAGGAGGAAAGACAGGTGTTTCTTTTTGATTCTTTGGGTTATATTGCAGTCAGCAGTTTTTAGATACAGTATGTAAAGATGATCTAGAGCAAAATTAAATAACCCAAACCTGTGTCTAAGTCATCCCAAATAAAAGGCAGATAAATACTTTCTATTGGGAATTAACTGTTTTATTTGCCAATTTTTTATTGAATTTTGTCTATATATCAAATTTATAATATTTCTTTATGCTTGTATTTAGCGGATAGATGCTACAATCCAGCATGGAGGAAGTCACTGTTTTCAATCTGAAGATCTTATATTTGAAGAAACAACAACAGAAGTCATTTATGCAGCTATTGACTTCCAAACGAATCGAGTGCCAAACAAGTGAGAAATTAATTCATTTTAATGAATAGTGCAAGCTTTGTGTTGCACAAGTGATACCGACACTAACACACAGTTCAACTTGTAGGGAGCAGATGGACTACCAAAGTGAATCTGTTATTTACAGCACAGTTTGCAGGTAAAGTTCTTTAGAATTGTATTTTGTATATCTTTTTTTTGTTGAACATAATCATAACAATATTTTGCTTCTTTTTCAGGTCCCAGCTTTTAAACCACTCAAATAGGGCATCCTCTTGATATGACTGTGAACAGCGCACTTATAAATGAAAAAAAAAAAAACAATAAAGAAACCCACATAACCTCTTAGCTAAAGTGTTTTTCAGGTTGGTGGATTTCCCCTTAGACAATAAAAACAAGTACAGCTACTTATATTCAACCTGTCTGCAAGAAATTACCTGTCATATAGTGAGTGAAAGATTAAACCCCAATCAGGTTTATTGAGAGGATGTTGAAACTCAACAGCCACTATCGTTCAGATAGGATGTCCTACTTGTGGAAGTTGAACTGCTGGAACACATACCCTTTTTTTTTTTTACTTAAATGCATAAAATGGAAATGGAAAAATAATACAAAAAGTGTTAAGAAAAACTAAAAAAACGAAAGAAAAGAAAATGTAACTGGAATTTAATATTTGTAATTTATATTCACATATGTGTTGGTATGTGTCTCTGGAATCAGATTTTCAGATCTGCTCTAATTAATCACAAAGATGTTTTACAAAGATGCAGGACTTTGTGCATATATAAATTTTCTCCACAACAAATAGTATACTTTATTATAAGATATTTTTAATATATACTGAAAGCAAAATTTAAAAATGTATGTTGATGCATTTTTATTCGGTGCAATCTATTATGTTTTCACTAATTCTTAAAAAAGTTAGTATATATAGTGTTTAATGGGTTGATGAATTTATAATGAATAGTAAATAAAGAATTACTCATCCACCACTTTACCGTCTTCATGGTCATAAGGGGCTTGCAAATGTTAATTAAATGTCATTTGGAGATTAGGGGTTGCTGCTTATCACCATTTTGACTTTGGTGTTGTTTGCTGTAGCAACAGCCTTTCATTAAATGAGAGAGAAAAAAAAACAATCTGTCTTAGAATATTCCCTTTATCCAGTGCAGATGGTTAAAGAAGCAAACAACGCAGCCAGACTGCCATAAACTTTGGCTGATTTCTCCCACAGAAGTTCAGTGACAGGCTTCTGCATCCAAACTGTGTTTGTTTTTCACTTTAAAGCACCACAGCTCTCAACAGAGCTGAACACACAAAACCTCGCATTCAGTTGATGTTCTTGTATGTGTTTTTTTGTTCATTTTGTATTTCATTTACTATAAAAGCAAATCATACAATTATTTTCGTCTGAATGTGTTCATTTGTATTTTTACATTTATTTGACTTCTTGCTGCTGTTACCCTGGAAATCTAACGGAAATAACAAATGAAAAGAAAACAATAACTGTTGATCACTCAGACAGGATGGAAATTAAACATAAACATAAAAAGCTGGGTTCTGGAAATACTACCACTACAACTATTACTAATAATAACATTACTAACAATTGATTATTGTCAAACAGATAAAAAAAACAATAAAGAAACTTTAAACACTGTAAATATTGTCTCTCAAAAGGAAGGAGTTTAAATCTTTTGTAGTCTTTTTGCTTGGTGGGTCACAGGAATGTTACTCCATTGCAGAGGTGTCAAAAGTATCAATGTTTATCTCTCAAGTAGAAGAATAAATCCTACTGTTTAAACAGTGTAAAAGTACAATTTTTAAAACTACTTAAAGTATAAAAGTAATACAGGAAAAATTTTAAGGACAGAAGCTTTACTGCACTACCTTATTAAAGGAAAATGTTTTTACTATTCTAGATTATCACTTCTTTATACTTCCTTTTCTTGGTTTTATAAGTACTGGTAAGAGTGTCAAATTTAACTTTGTAACATCTTCAAAAAATATTTATTTTGGTGTGTGGCAGACAACAAGTTGTGGCAGCACCGAGTCCAACTACAAACAAATTCATTGTCTGAATGAAACAAATTATTTTGATGGTTTATATATATATATATTTTTTTTACACCGAAATGAGCCATAATGAAAATGAGCTTAAATGAAACAAAACTAACAGCTCTGTTTTTAAAATGTAAGGAGTAGAAAGTAGGGATAATTGCAAAAAAAATGTAAGAAATAGAAGTAAAAAGTTGTCTAAAAATTGTTACTCCAGTAAAATATAGACAGCCAAAATTTCTACTTTAGTAGATAATGAAGTATTTGTACTTTGTTGCTTGATACTTCTGCTACATTGGTATGATGCAGCAAAACAGGAAGCTGTGTCTCTTATTGCGTGGGTCTTAGTAGGAGGATGTTTGTAGTATGGCAGGATCTGGTTATAGTGTAACGGATGAAGAGAGCTAAAAGGCAAAGGCATACATTGCCATGAATGTACTAAAAATGGGAAGAAAGATCTGGGTTGCTTTCCAACTGGGCACTGAGAGCCAGTAGAGTGAGCAGGATGGAGGGGAAGAGCTCACATTTCCTTGCCCTCTTCAGAATCCTTAACGTGCTGTTTTGGGTGTGCAGCTGTTTTTCTAAAGTGACCACTGAAACAACCTCAGGAGCTATGAGCATCATTACTGAATGAGAGGGATGGAGAAGAATACTAGACCAAAGATAAGTGGCTAAGAGAATAAGAAAGTCTAAAAATGTGATAGGTATATTTTTAGGCAAAACAACTCAAGAAAAGGATGGTTTACATACATGTTTGTATTTTAATTTCTAATTTTTTTTTAATCTAATGAACATAATCTCTAGGAGTAATGGAGACCATTCAGTACAGGGTACCTGCTATAAATAACACATAAACAAAACTACAATAGCCAACAAACGTGCTATACAAACTCATCTGTTGTGACATTAAACATTAAAGATGACGACTGAATTCTTGAATCTCTTTCTATAGTTTTTGTTCATTTAAAGAAGTCAGAAGTAAGCCTTACATAAAATAAAAAACTATGATTTAGATTTTAGGCAACATTTAAAATGCTTGCATTAGAAAATGATTCACAGTGAGAGCAAAGGAATGCCTAATACACAACAAAGTCAGGCCTGCCCTTGGTACTCTTTGGATCCCACCTTAGAGAGTTTGTATTTTTTTAGAACTCTGTGGCATGGTAAAAAGAACCAACAGGAAAGAAACTTACAGTTGTCATGATTTTCTTAAGAGATCTGACCCACATGCAGTAAACCACTCAGAGAACCAGGGTTAAGGTTTGAACAGGTTTATTGATAAAACCAGCGGGGGTTGGATCCAGGAAACACAGTGTACTGGTGAACCGGAACTGCAAGAGGGAAGGGAACTATCAGTGCTTAGTTCAGGATCCGTGGGAACCTTGAACAATGACTTGGAGAGACAGAGAAAATGGGACTCACATTAGTGGAGAAAACTTTCTTCCCAGAATCCAATCGGTGTGGGTTTATCCAGAGGTTGAGACTCATTGGAGGGAGGACAGGTATAGCCTTGGTTTGACCCTGAGCAGGTATTGAGCAGACTGTCACTTGGTAATCCAGGAGGACTTGAAAGGAACTTGTGGAGGTTAATCCCCTGCTAAGTGTGAGACTCAAACAATCCTTCCAGGGGGAGAAGGCCAAACATCCAGCTTGCAGGAAGGCTTCTTGCCGAAAAGGCAAACACAAAAAACAAGGTTAGGCTCAACAGAAAACAAAGACTAAGTTAGACTCAGCGAAACTCAGCTTGGCTAGAGTACCCAAAACTGGCAAACACTCTGGCGCCGAGGTAGTGACAGCCCATTGCTCAAATAGTCCTCAGTGATAAGCCAACCAGCCGTAGGTGTGCAGGAGGACCAACGAGGACAGGGCGCCCCTGTCCTCGTTGAACACTGACAAAAGAACACTGCTCCTGGTCACTGAGTCTTTTTATGATGTTAATGTACAGGTTGTTGTCAATAATGTTTAGATGTCTAACCACCATAACCCAGAAAAGAACACATCAGAGACTCGTGTGGTTGATGGTTTATGCATGATCCAAATGACTAGATTATTTTGCAAGCCTTAGAGATAATTTTTTCTGGTTGTGAAAGCTTGAGGTGCCACCTTTACTTCTTATGATATTAAGCTTTAAGGGGCATCTTTAAGTCATGACATTCAGAAAACAAAAGAGCTATGTGAAGTCGAGTGTGTAGTAGCAAGGGAACGGGAGCCGTGGTGTTCAGCCACAAGAAATTAAATTGCTTTCTCTGTGTCTGAAGTCAGTGTTTGTCAGGCTCAGAACAAGAGAACCGAGTTTTCAAGGTGGAGAGGCAGTTAGGTTTGACAAAATGTTTATTTAAGATGGAACTGTAGAGAACAGCATCTAAGGTAGGAACCTCTGCAGGGGGAGAACACAGGTTGGTGACCACATCTATCTGGTGGAGCATGATTAAGAATGTGAGTCCCTAACCTGGTCTTATAGATCAGTCCAAGCTCCGAGTATAAGGTTGGTTCAAGCCAGTCACCGGCCAACAAGACGTGATGGGAACTGCCCAGAGAGTCCCAAATGCTAAAGACCCGGAGGTTGGTGGACAGGCAGGAGATCAGAACAGAGTAGACGAAGGAAGGCAGGA